ACTGGTGGTCAGTTTATGCCTTAAAGTATGAGAACTGATGGCTCTTGTAAATATTTAATTTAGCTAGTGCAACTGCAGATGCTATTTTTATTCATATAATTTGTTAATCTCTTTTTGAATTTTACTAAACTGTTTGATTTAATAAGAACCTACAGTTCCCAGAGCAACCTTAACCCTGCTTTTTAACACATACTCATTACATGATTAAGTCTTTTTGAAGGAATAATATAGAAAAAATGTTTCTTTTACATCCTTTCCTACCCTATACACTATCTGCCAACCAGTATGTCAAATTGACTGAAGTTATATGATAATGTAATGAAAGACACTATTGTAAATGCACATGGAAAAGGAAACAAAATAACTAGTTGATGCGGGAAACCATATCTCAGAATTTCCAAATTTTTGTGAAAATACAATCTTACCATTACACTAATGTAGCTTTATTGATCTTAATTTATTTGCTTTTAATTTTTTTTTTAAATTATGGCAAAAAGAAAACATACAATGTATTTCAATAAGTATTTAATAAAAACCATGCTTATTTCAATTTATGATCCTCAAAAATGACTGAATGAATTTTCATTAAAATCCAATCAAACAAAAAACCTGATAAAAAAACATGAGAAAATTCAGCTAGATAAGTTATTTCTTCAGAGAGTTATTAGCTGTTCTTCTAACTGTAAAGTCAACTAGAATTACTGGCTGCTATGAGAATGATCACAGAGTACTACTATATTCATTTTATGATTTTTGAAAACTTAGAGACAGAATCTTGACAGAGTTAATTTTTGTACATTTTTGTAATTGAAGAGTTGGTTCCTAAGATACTGGGGTCCTGGTTGAGTGTTTAGAAATCTGGGTTGGTAAATAAGATCAGATTTCTCAAAGAAAAAACCCTCAAATGATATAACTGTCTGATCAACAACATATTATAGATAGACAGATTTCCAACAAATTCATAATCTAAATGGAAGGGGAAACTTATACAACTGTTGATTGGTTCAAACTTAGAATACAAAGACCTCAAAGGTGATAAAAATACTCAGTTAAAACTAATGCAGTTTAACTTGATGCATCATTCATACTGGAACCATCAAAAGTAAACAGATTAAACCTGGAAGACTCTGGGCTATTCCAGTGATGTTCTCATCCATCTGGTGATCTCACACTTATGTTCTAGAGCTGTATTCAAATAATTGTGTTTTGAAAAGATATGACAATGAATGCATATTTTTAAATCAGTGATGTGCCTCCTGTGTAATGTTTCTAAACTTCAAGGATTAACAAAAGACAAAATTACATAAGGTTGTTATTGGCATTTTAACTGCTAAGAATATCTTCATAAGAACAAGGAAAACTTCCATCTCTAACAGAGACAGGTTCCGATAAGAAAAATTCCAGATTGTAGGATGATAACGATAAGATTGAAAATACTTCAGGACCTATTGGCAATATCTCATCAGAGGCCCTAATTCTTCCTATCATACTTTCTATCTTGTTTCCCCCCCTTTATCTCTTCTGTTCTATGAAGGGTAAGATGATTTTATGAGTTATGTTTAAAGAAAGAAATGTGATCTCTCAGTTTTAGAAATGTGATCTGTGTGCTTATGATGAATTCTTTCAGTAAACTGATCCATTTTTTCAGTGTATGCATTTTAAAAAACTCCAGCAAACATGAAATTAAATAATATAGAGAGACTGACTATAGGATTATCTATTCTTGTGAATATTCAAATCATAGCACTGCGTGTGCTGACTGTAAATAAAGTAATATACTGTGTACGCTCTGCATACCACTTTAAAATGTTCAAAACTGCAGACCAAATATCTTCGAACAATGCAAAGCACACATCCTCTTTCAGGACTACATAGATGACAAATTAGAAGTTTAACTCAAACCTGTTTGTGGTAGAGCCAAGTGAAAAAAAGAGCATCTAAAAATGTCTTAAGAACTGACAAACTTTCCTCCTGCAACACTAGCTCTGATAACTCAAAATAGCTAAACTGATTTTCACGAAGGTTTCTACAGAAATTTATTTCTCTGCTGAGATCAAACATGAAAAATTTCAATCCCATAGGTATTTTTTGGGAAAGGTCAAAGCAATTAAAAAGAGGGGTGTAGAATGGAAGTATCAAGTATAATAATGTTATTGGGACACTCAAATTAGAACACTCCCCTCTGGCCCCACTCCATGTAGTAATTAGACACAGTGAAAGGATTAAGGGTAGCAAAGGGGAGAATACAGTACCCATAATAAAGGGTTGAGGGGAGGAACCAGCGCTCCACCCCATCCAAGTTGAAGAAAGATTATCCTATATGAAATAGAAATATATACTTTATTATTAATTAGGTATCTGTAATGACCGAAACACTTGGTGTTACACGTTATAACTTAGCAGTATGTGATACTGTCAATTTTCTTTTAAGTCTAGAGTGCTCTTGAAAAATAAGGTGTTCAAGCCTCAACATCATTTCCCTGGTAAGGGAATCTCAGAAATATCTATTGAATTTTAGGAGTATATTTAAGACATCAATTACTGTTATTTAATTTTACATGTTGAGAAATTGGACTGGAAATTTGAAATACGGTAAATGTTTAAAGCCATCAGCCAGAAATGTGCATAAAACATGCAAAACTGAAAGTTCAATGTGGATAATTTTTAAAAATTGTCTTCTGCCTGCTACTACTTTTCTAATGCAGAAATCAAGCACGGCACAACATGCTTTACTCATTGAAGCTACACACAAACACATGCATTATTATTACCTAAACCAATTAGACAAAGCAATGTATATTTGATTTTCTACATCTAAAATAACATACAAATTCAGAACTAGTGCAAGAGCATTATGTTACAAAGAGTAATAAAAAACTTAACATAAAAGCAATGGGTATATTCAAATCTTAGTTTGCAGGTAATCATCATTAATCTACATGCATTGAGATGTGAACATAACCCTAAATCTGTGACTGAGATTTAATTTAAATGAAAGCAATTCTTTACTTTGCCTTCCAGCATCTGGGTGGAGTTAGTTTTTTTTTTTTTTTTTTTGAAGTTCATTGTTTTGAAGTATTAAACACTTCTCAGAATACAATGCAACAACAGAATCCGATTTCAGATGTTCTTATTCTGGCAAAACTCATTCCTGTGCAGGGGGCTAGCACAGTCTATGGAACACTTCAGACCTATATTTACCTAAATGGCTCATAGGCCTTGTGCCAGCCCTCTGCACAAGGAATAATATTTGCAACAGAGAATAACCAAGTTAATCTATAACCATATCATATACAAATATTAGTGAACAGTAAAATGTATACATTAGAACCAACAGAATGGATTGGATTCATCAGGATTTTACTGACTTGGTAAAAGGTTGAAAAAGCACTTTTTGTTGAAATTTTCACACTCTCCCAATTCACTAAAATAGAAAACAGGACATTCCTAAAAATAGGATCATAATCTAAACTAGATTTCTGATATCAGATTTTTCTTTAAATTGGCACAGTTCCAGTAAAATCAATGGGACCATACCAATTTACACCAGCTGAGAACCTGTTAACAGTCTCTTATTTACAGAGGCTTTGTGGAATAAATTTCATTCCTTTCCAGAAAATACTCTGCATCTTTTTGAAGGTGGTGAAAAATCTTAAAACGAAAAAGATACTTGCTGAATCAAAAATCAGCCAGTTTTGCCACAGCTCATTGTAGGTATATGCAATGCAAGAAAGCAAAGAGGTTTAATTTCTCCCCCCAAATTTACTATTTCCTGCAAGCAGACAAAAGAAACACTGGAGTACTTGACCCAGCTCTTAGCCTATTACATTTTGCTAATTTATCAATTCACAAATTTATCATTTTAAGGACTTTGTTAAATTAAGACATGGTTATCTGAAACTGAAATTCATGATCTAGTCATGTTTGAGTTAATAGTTTTTTCTTGTGAAGTCTGAAGTAAAGATATGTAACGTGATGGATACAATTTGAGGACCTCAATTCTAACAATCTGAATTTGATTTCATGATACTACTGTGGAGTTACCGTATATCTAAACACAATTTAGACAGTACATTGCAAACTGTCTATTTTACTAAATTAGATCTGATTTTGACATTATCAGAAAGCTGCTTCCTCTGATGTTTCCATGAAGTGGAAAAATCATTCTCTTAAAATTAAATAGATTTCAATGACATGCACATTGGGCTAATTTGTATTCAGCAGCTGCAAGGAATAGAAAATAGTAGACAAAGGAAACGCTAAGTAAAAAGAGACCATTTCTTGTGTGAGATGGAGAACAGTGATTCTAACTTACTCAAAATAGGAACTAAATATAATGTGTGTGTAGTACTGAATAACTGGATTTTTCCTGGAGTCAACAGAATAGTTATTTAACAATAAATTATCTCATCAAGAAAAATAATCCAGAAAAATAATTCATATTTTTTCTCATGTGTCCGTCAGCCACTGACAGAAATAGATGTAAAACTACTAACTGGGCCAAATTCAACGCTGGTGCGATCGAGTGAACTTCAACAGAGTTACAACAAAGCTGAATTTGGAGCTTTATTTTTTATGAAAATACAAAAGATCTGAATTTGTAACAAGGAAGGTACTTTTTTAAACTGGTGCTCAATCAGATTCTCGTAGAAACCTTGTGGTATGTTTATCAGCACCAAATTGTACAAAATCTACTCATCTTGAACTCATTTTTCGAAAATCCGTTAAGAGTTAATATATTTATTTCTCTGATTATTTCTGTATCCTTAAAGAAAAACTCCTGAGATTGGCTAGAAAGTAAAGTAACTGGAATGAACACAACTAAAGTATGATATTGCATATGGATTTAGGTGAGCTGATAAAGCCTTTTGCTTATCTTTTAGATACTCAGTAGATAAGAGGATAGTACAGCCTTTCTGCATGGATTTGTCATTCCTTATTCTGCATGCATTGTTTCTTTTTAGGCATGCATTATTTCAGGTTCTTTCATTTTGTCTTACCCGCATCCCTTCAAATCGCGACAAGGCTCTCAGAGGTCTCAAAGCTCTTAGTGTCCTAAGGGACTTAATGGCACCAAGTTCCGAGTAACCTAATGCATTCGCTGTTAAGCTAACCAAGGAGACCTACATAAAAAACAAAAAAGCAAAAATTACTCATTTTGTACATATCACTATATATCCCATAGATGTGCGTTACAGCCTTCTCAAGTAGAATCTAAGTTGGAGCACTTTCTTCAGAAATCTTTCTGTAGCCTGGAGAAAATCTTTTAAATTAAGGAAAAAAGTAGGAGAAAAAGGAAGGAGTAGCATAAAGGAATTAAAGGAGAAATAGGGGAATAATGCCATAAGATACCCATTGATGAATACTGGCTGATACAAGGAAGCATAAATATTTTGTATTCTCATATCTTGTTTGTGATACACTAAGATTTGAAGGAAAACAAAAATTCTCATACACAAAAAAAAACCCTACAGAGGAAATTAAAGTGAATCTACACTGTTTGTCAGTCTAGGTACTGATCTTAGTCTTACACATTAAAATTTTGAGAACATTCTTTGAACCATTATAATGGCCATTTGATTGTATTTGAGAGCCACAGTCAATAGGGAAATTATAGAAATCTGTTCAGAATTTACAATATTATTGATCAACAGCTGATGAAGCAAGAATGATCCTCTGTAAATTGGTATGAAAGATCAGTCCCACAGCTGATTCACTTCTTTTCACTGACCATTCATTCTCCCTGACTTGCTCACTTTTCATGCTCTATAGGTGGACATGATCATGGCTTACATGCTCTAAAGTAGAGAGAAGAGACGCTAAAAGAGTACTTGAACAATGATGATATAAAGCTCTCAAAAATAATAATTATTTAAAGAAGTCCAGTAAAGCAACCGATTGAGGAAAGAGATCTTTATTACATACGTTGAAAATCCAGTTTTATCTTCCAATGCTTTAGAGTTGTCTGTAGTAGCCTTGCCCCAGCTTGCACTCCCAAGCCCTGGGAGAGGAGACGCAAATGATGTTCTGACTGACAGGGTCTGCAATACTGAGGTGGCGGCAGCACTGGGAGAGAGTCCAGGGAGCAGTGCAGAGTCCTGGTCCTGTGCAGGGAGCCTGCCACTTGCCTGGTATGGCAGTGAGAGAGAGGAGCCGCCAGCCGTGAGCAGTGGCAGATTGTTGAGGACTGGTTCCTGTGTGCTACTGGGTGCATGGAACAGGACCCCTGAAGTGCTGGAGGCAGTAGGAGGCAGTGGGCACCAGGGGAGTGGGGAGCGGCCCCCATGGGGGCAATCGTCGTCCCTCTTTACAATGCTAGGTGCCTGCGGTAGCAATGGTAGATTTGTTTTTCTTGATTGGAAGATATGAACTGATTGGGGAACGTTTTGGGGTGGAGATTTGAAGTGTTTGTGCCTAGGATAAGATCATAGCAAAAGGTTGTAGTCTGAAAGAGTGGTCTGAGGGCAGAAGGAGCTGGGCTGAATTACCTAAATTTACTAGCAATGGTTAAAACCCATCAGTAAGCCCACAAATCTTGGTGACGTGGTGCCTCTGCCTCCACCATAAGTGCTCCCATCCATCCCCTCACTCACTCTAAAATTATGGATTTGATATCTCCCTTTCTAGCGAAGAGGATGGATTTGTGGGGGGTCAGATACTATCTTGTAAGGACTGGAGATCATGACCACCATACGGTCTGAGCCCTTCGGGTCTTTGTTCTAACTCTTATACAAAGACTGATGTGGAGGTTGCCCGAATCAAGGCCAGGTCAGTTTCCCCAGGATAATGATGTAGATGAACTTTTTAACCCTCTTTTGAAATCTACCCCTAGATTGTCAGATCTTTTTGATGGATCTGCAGAATCAAATGCAAACTTTTCATCACACACTGCCCCTGGTCATGAACACTATATAAGGCTGGGAAAGCTTATTGGTAAAATGTTTACTGACATTTCTGAAATCAAAAAATCTTAATTGATTTCAAGGTCATGCTGGGGGGCCTGTGGCAGATACAGCAAGAGTTTAAATACACTAAAGAAAATTGTGTTTTCAGTAGCTACAAAGCTGAATAGTGGGCTTGATCTCCCTCCTGCACATAATCAGAGCAGTGGTTCTGAGGTAGGAGTTTTGGGTAATGGTATTGAAATAGTATTTTATTCCTGTATCCCCTTCTGCCATACCCCTTTCCAGGCATGTGTCCTGTGAGCCCATGCTCATGGTTCTAGATATTCATTCTTGCCTGGATAAAAGCTCCTCATTGTCTGAAGACGAACTTGATGAACAATCAACAGACACATAGTCTTCCTTCTCAGAGCAACTCTCAACACAATCTGACACAAAGTCACTATCATCTACTACACTATTATCACAAATCATTTTTATAAGGTCGGAAATAGAATATTGTGCCCATTTGTTCGCCATCTTGAATTGTGCAACACAAAAAATCCCCTTAGGAGTCTCCTGAGTCTGCAGTATTTGGAGCACAATAACTAGACAGAAAAGCCTCTTATGAGTGTCAAGCAAAGATATCCAGCATCAGTCCACTCTGTTGAGAATACCTAACAAGCCCAGATTTGAAGGAACCAACATCCTTGAAGTACCTTCTACCTTAGGATGACTGTATGCAGCAACCACCGTCACTGCAAGGCATTATCAATTAGCGTACGCACGGTCCTAAAACAGCCTACTTGGATGGTCACTAGTTCATGAGTTATCGTAACACACATGTTCATGGGGTACAATATTATCCCACAAACGCATTATCAGTTAGCATATGCAAATTAAATTTATGTAAAAAAATCCCAGCTTGCTTACCGAGGAAGACATACTTACCACTATTAGAATATAAGATATTCTCACTAGAAGCAAACGTGTACATAGAACTAAAAACCCAGGATAACAGTGCAACATATTTGTACCCCACATACAAAATGTTTTCAATCTAAAATTAATTTTTTTTGCAGAATTGTGTGTATGTGCTTAGGTGACAATGCCCTAAAACAGCATAGTTGGAGGGCCACTAGTTCATGAATAATTGCAACATATATGCTTGCAGGATGAAGGCTAGTGTATTAAATTAACCTATTAATATATAATGCTGTAAATAACACAGGATCAATAAATAAAGGATTGATCTCTCCTGCCCATGATCCATCATAGCATAACACAGCATAGCTCAGCAAGATTGGAAAAGTTAGCCAACCCTTGAAGGGAAGAATGAACTCATCTTGCCTAATTTCAAACACAGACATCATAAATTCGATGATGGATTTGGACTGAAGGGCTTATTGAAGTTGCTGCACCTGTACTACAGGTGTAGTCTTTGTTCCCTACATAGCCGCTCTGTAGCTACATGCTGGCACTTGTGCAATGGAAGCTCAGATATCGAATGTTTTTATTTTTAGGAAAGTATGTTAATATCTTTTCTGTTCTGTTCCACTGAAGTCAGTGCAAAACTCTCATTTACTTCAATGGAGCTAGGACTTCACCCACAATGATCATAATCAACTTTATTAAAAATATAACATGTTGTGCAGGTTCAAAAAAATGGCAAAAAGCGGGGCGGGAGGTAGAATATTTAATTCTATATTGCAGCAATATGGCTTCAGTGTTCTCCAGTATCTCATTTTACTCTGAGTAAGGAATGCATCAAGAAGGCTTTCATTTTCCCACAGCACTAATTAAGGATTTTGGACAAATTTAAGAGGAGATCTAGGATTTCACAATCTATTACATTGTAAGATGTAGCTCCTTCATATGTTGTAACTGCATGCCCAATCCATTTAGCTGCTGTGCACATCCTAAGCAATTACTTCATAGCCCTTGGAATTTGGTGGATGTGCTATCATCATCTAAAGGTTTTGATGCTACTCAGTGGTCAGAAGGTGTGTTAAAGAGCATTTCAGACTGCATTTTCCTTTCCCCTGTGATGTATATACATTATAGATGACTGAATCATTAGTCTGTACTCAGAATAAACTGATGCTATTAAATGGTCATGTAACAGCAATTATATCAAATATAAGTTGAAATATTATTAAAATATTAATAACAAATGCAAATTCTAACCAATCAACTTGCACAATATCAAAAAGTAGGAAAAAATATAAAGACAGAAGCAAAATACAACTAAATAATAATAAGAACTGGTTACTTACCTAACCTTACATTAGCTGTGGCTCTTCAAGGCATGTTGTCCATATATATGCTACTCTACTTGCACATGCGTCCCTTATGTTTGAGATCAGAATCTTTTGCCCAGCAGTGACCTGGGGCTGTACATTCACCGTGAGTGTCCTCATGTCCTGTGCTGAGGGCATAAAAGGGAAACAGCCCCAACCACCACTCTGTTCCTTCACCAATACAGAATCCAGAGGTTAAAGGATTCCATGGTAGTATGGAAGGAAGGTGGGTCATGGAATACATATTGACAGCATACCTCAAAGAACCACAGTTAGTGTAAGGTAAGTAACTGTTTCTTTTTCTTTGAGAGTTTGTGCATATATATTCTACTCTTGGTGACTCACAAGCAATGATGCGATATAAGGAAGGAGGATACACTGGGGGTATCTAAAATGGATAACTCATAACAGGATTTAAGGCAGGTAGACATCATTTAGAAAGTCTCTGGGTTGATATGGCCTGGGCCTTCAATCTGTCTGCAAATGCAACAAAGAGTCTTGGGGAAACTCGAAATGGCTTGGTTCTATGCAGTTAGAATGATAATGCCCTAAAGACATGCAGAGTGTCTTGTCTGGCCTCTTCCTGATTAGAATGTGGTTTCGGGAAGAAAACTGGTAAATGGATCATTTGGTTCATGTGAAAAACTGTTACTACCTTAGATAAGAATTTGGGATGGGACCTAAGGGTAACCATGTCCCTATGGAACACCGAATATGGAGGGTCTGCCATAAGAACCAAATATTGGATGATTGAACAGGTTACTCAAAGCTGGTGAATGGGACCTGGTACCTCTTACCTGTCTCCTTAAAGGTCAGTGTTACTGATGCTAGGGTCTGCCAGATAAGCTTTACTGACTCTACTAAGGCTTCATTAATAGGTAATGCCAGACAACCATGTAAAGAGGTATGGAGTATAAGAACATAAGAACATCCGTACTGGGTCAGACCAAAGGTCCATCTAGCCCAGTATCCTGTCTACCGACAGTGGCCAATGCCAGGTGCCCCAGAGGGAGTGAACCTAACAGGTAATGATCAAGTGATCTCTCTCCTGCCATCCATCTCCACCCTCTGACAAACAGAGGCTAGGGACACCATTCCTTACCTATCCTGGCTAATAGCCATTAATGGACTTAACTTCCATGAATTTATCCAGTTCTCTTTTAAACGCTATTATAGTCCTAGCCTTCACAACCTCCTCAGGCAAGGAGTTCCACAAGTTGACTGTGCGCAGAAAATATATGGAGATATACCTAGCTCATAGAACTGAAAGGAAGCCTGAAAGATCATCTAGTCCAGCGGGTACTGGAGAGTCATGGTACTGAGAAAATTCTTCTCTTGTCAAAAATAAAACAAAATAGCTCACTATGAAAAAATTACCAATGGGCAAGCTATCCTAGCACATTAAACCTACACACTCTATCATATACAAATATTTACACAAAATTTTAGGAAAAAGGTGCAAGAGTTCGTGGACACTGTGGAGTTCTATTCTGCAGCCACGGGCAGTAAAAAGTAACTGAGTGACAGAAGCTGCTGCTTCATCTTTTATGCCATTGGTGAGATGCACAAGGACATTTAGGGCAAGTTTATCCTCCCGCACTTCATCGGCAAAGCTGCACAGATGCAGCTGCACCGCTGTAGCGTGTCTTTTGAAGATGTGCTGTACCGACGGGAGAGCACTGTCCAGTTGGCATAATTATTCCACCTCCACAAGAGGCAGAAACAATGTCAGCGGGAGAGCGTCTCCCACTGACATAGTGTGGTGTGGATAGTGCTTAGGTAGATGTAACTTACAATGCTTGGGGAAGGTGTCTTTTTCACACCACTGAATGACGTAAGTTACATCGACTTAAGCGGTAGTGTAGACCAGCCCTTAGGGTGCATGCACAGTCCCAACTGACATTACTGGCCAGCTGATTCCGATCTTGGTCACATAGAACACACATGCACTGATAGTGGAATATATCTGGACAGCATTTGAAGAACTACAGGATTCTGGTCAAATCTTGAGTTCCTATGTGACTTTTAAAGAATTTTTGCCTACAATACTTTGCTTATTAAATATAAATTATTTTGGCATGGCTAATATCAAGAGTATAAATATTATGTTAATGAGTTCTACAAAAAGGAGACAGTAAAAGAAATATAAAAGAATACTTAGAAAATATATCACATACATCAACAATTAGGAAGTCCAGCCAGCACCAAGCATTAGTGAAGTATGTTTGATAGCCATATGCCACCCACTTGAGCAGCATTTCCAGAATGAAGATGTAAGTGAAAACCTTGTCAGCATATTCCAGCATGGTCTTGATAGTCTTGCGCTGCTCTATATATATGTCTTCAAAAGCCTAAAAACAAAAATATTCAAATGTGTTTAGTGTTCAGTAATGTTATAGTGTGTAGTTTAAATTGCAAAGACAAAGAAAATAAAAAAACTGAAATATTCTCTCCCTAAATACAAAGTCGGGGGGCCTGAGCTTTCTCCTACTTTTCTTTCTCAGATAAAAAACAGGGTTGTGTACTGTATTTGTCCATAGGTAAATCATATAGAATGCAGCCTATTAGGTTTTATTCTTATCTGTTGATCGATTTATCTATGGTATTTATATGTTTACTATAGTGATTACTATAGTGTCTGATTGCCTCACGATCATTAATGAATTTATCTTCACAATACCCTTATGAGGTAGGGAAGTACTATTATCTATTATCCCCATTTTCCAGATGGGGAAACTAAGACACAAAAAGACTATGGGCTAGATTTTTAAAGATATTTAGCACGCAGTGGGTTTTTCAAAAGCAGTATGAGCACCTAACGCTCATGGGTGTTAGGCAAGCCTGGATTCTAGGATCCTGCAAGGTAGAAGGGTCCCAGAGCTCGGGCTCCAGCCTGAGTCTGGAAGTCTACACAGCAATGAAACAGCCCCACAGCCTGAGCCCCGCACGCCTGAGTCAACTTGCATGGATCAGGCACAGGTGTCTAGTTGCTATGTAGACATACCTTAAGTGACTTGGCCACAGTCACAAAGAAAGTTGTGGCAGAGCAAGAAATTCAACCCAGGTCTCCTAAGTCTCTGACTAGCACCCTACCCACTGGATCATCTTCTGAAAATAAATAACTTAGGTGGTTTGTGAGTGATTCATACTTCTGCAAGTTTCACAAGCATAAGGTGACAGTACTATGTGAAATTATGTGAATTTTTTCCAAACATGGTGGTGGAAATTCATCTTAGCCAGTCATCCTGCCAACATGTCCTTCTCTTGCGAGTTCTTCCCAGTGACCTCCTTTCTCCATTCATTAGGAGACTGATCCAAAGCTCACTGAAGTAAATAGGAGCCTTTCTATTGACTTCAATATGCTTTGAATCAAGTCCTAGAGGTAAAAATACCACTTTTTTATATCATGTTCAGTATAAAATTGTTTATTAAATTGTTATATTGGTATTAAATAAAACAAAAGCTGGATGGTATTTATGGGCTTTAGTTCATGCCAGACAAAAGCCTTGGATTTTGTTTTATTTGAAACCAACGTAACAAATAACATGCTTTAGAGAACTGTATCTAAATGACTGGCCAAATACATTGCAAAGCATGACTGCTTAGACTCCTCAAGTGAATATGGATCCAGATTTGGTTTTACAGAAGTTCAGCTTTTCTGCCCCCCTTACTTATGAGGAGCATTCAGGATATTTTTATGGCATTTTTGCGGTGTGCTTCTTTTATTGCTACTATTTTATATTAATGACATTTTCTCTTTATTTTGTTCTCACTTATTTGGTAAGTTTTCACAAAGTGTTTGGTAGTTTGTATTTTTAGAGACATTCCTGTGGCTATTCAGTCTACATGAGTGAGAATTCTTGTTCTTAGAAGGCAGTAATTAGAAAAGATCCACATTGACTGATATCACCACAGTATTAAGATGTATGTATGTGGGAGGAGTAAGGTGGCTATTTAAACTGTACAGGCTAGCTTGGATTTTCCAAGAAGAGCAGGGAGTTGCACTGACTTTGTACCACCTGGAGGCGGATTTTCTGCAATGAACATCCCTGAGTTATACTGGTAGATGCTGATACAAACTGGGGGTGAAGCAAGCCCAAATAAATCATACATTAATTATGTTTCTCTTTTTCCACATATTGCACTATGTTTGCAACTCGATGGTCCCCCAGGCCACATGTCTCAGTAATACCTCCTTCAATCCCCTAGTCCAAACACTGAATGATGACTGTGCCTATGTGGCTATGCTGTGGAAAGAGGACTCCTTTTGCCCCCTTTTCACATTCAAAGCATTAACACTAGCATTAACTAGCATTCAAAGCATTAACATTTGGCCCTTACTGTTTAAAGATAACACATTTGGTTTTTTATCTGCAGGGGAAAATATGCTAAAAACTGTGTTTGATAAATCACATTTTAAAATATTTTCCCACAGAAACATTAAACTTATTTCAGGTTTCACTCACCAGAGCACCACTACTAAGGAGAATCATAAAGACAATGAAAGTCTCAAACCAGTTGTGTTCAACTATCTTGAAGCAGGTTTTCCTAAGATTCCACCATTGTTTTCCTCTCCCCTCTTCTAGGCTGACTTGACAGCACTTGAACCTTCGTACACAGCCTGTAAAGCAACATACATTTTGAGAAGGCAAAACAGAGAAGTGATGCTTAAGGAGATAATGTCTGATTATTTGACTAGTGGCATAGCAATTATATTTCCATGTACTTTATGGCTATAAGAAAATCTAAACTCTGATAAATACATTTTCAAAGCCCATTTTTCAAGCAGTAAAATCAAATGCGGTTAATAAGACAATTGGTATTTAAAATCAAATGAAAGAATGGGAAAGTATTTCTACTTTGCTGAGAGCTAACTGTGCTCAGTACTACACAAACAGATGAAGACATGGTCCCTCCCACAAAGAATTTAGAAGCCAAATTAAATACAATTAGTACAAATATACAGTCAAACTTCAAGCAGGTTTATATTTTTAATGCACTTATGTGTGGACATAAGTTATTGTAATACATTATTTACATTCCAGTAGCACCTAGATGTTCTAGTGAGGATCAGGGACAAATGTAATACATGATCCATGCCCTGAAGAGCTCACAATGTGGTCTGGGGAGTTAATTCTGATAAGGTACTGGAGGAAGTTCATTTTAAGGAAGGACTGAAAGAAGAGAGGGATGATGAGCAGCTTACAAGAAGAAGGGAGGAGTTCCAGGTATATGAGATGGCATGGAAGAAGTTACAGTGATGAAAGTGGAAGAAAGATAAAAATGGTACTTTCATATGTTGCCTTAAGAGACCTTTACATAGTGGGAGGAGGATTAGGAGGAAATTAAAGCAAAGATGTAGGCAGGGACAGATTTGTTCAGTGCCTTGAAGATGACAAGTCTGAACTGGAAAAAAAAGCAGAGAGAAAGCCAGTAAAAGGAGTGGAAGAGGATAGTCAGAGAGGTGGAACAGAATGTATTTTGAGCACAATCTAGTAAGACTAGCTAGGATACAGAGAGGCCAAAGAAAACTTTGCAGTAGTTGAGGTAAGAAATTAGCAGGGAATAGACAAGGATTTTAGTGGTGCTGATGAAAAGAAAAAAAAAAGATTGATTTTAGAGATTCTGTAAAGAAGGAAATGACAGCTTTCCTGAATCAGGGTCATAACAACTTTCATCCTCTGGTCTCCAAATCAAGACTATGGTTTCTGCAGTTTGTAAGAAAAGATTTGAAAACAGGTTATTGATGGTAAAATCCTGTACAAACCCACCACATTTCAATACTGAATTCAAGAACTGAATTTCTTTTTTCTTTTTAAAAAATCCATGAAAAGTTCTTATTCTTAAATCAGATAATAACTGTATACTTGTGGTGTTGATTGCAAATGATCCAAATCAAAAATTCCTACTCCCTCAAATGGAGTGTAGGGAGGATGGAGGTTTATCTCCTCTTTGCCATAACTTTAAAAAAACTCTTGACTAAAATTTTTAAACAGAATTCAGAAATGCATCATTAATTCCATAAATGTGCAATATGATTCAAGATTACCAAGTTAGGGCCAGATTCTGCCACCTTAAGCACGCTAAGAGATACTTTACTACATGAGAAGTTTCACTGAAATCAATGTTACCGATTCCAATAAGGTACTATTACAGTGTGCATAAGGGTAGAAGGTTGGGCCCCTAATTTGGCCAAATAACCATAAAATCAGCAAGTTGCTAGAAAAATAAAAACCTACAAACTTCCAGCAATATCTGCACAATGATTTATTCAACAAATTAATTATATTTGGCAGTTTCACCCTCTTTGCATATGTCACAAAGTTGCCTTTCAATTTGGCAGTATTGTTACCTCTCTCCCGAAGAGAGGCCATTGACTGGGATAAGCAGGGAATTACAAGTTAGGAATGAAGTACAGAGTAAGAGCTATGTCACTAAATCTTGCATATCAACTATTTGCCCTGGGTTAAGTAGACCCTGTTAGTCCCTCATTCTCATAAGCATTAAACTCACTCACACATTTTAAAAGTTGAATGAAGTGTTTAAAATGTGTTCACAATCTTTATAGTTCTATTTATGTTCTTCGAAAAGTATCTTTTACCGGGAAAACATTCATCAGTTGTGAAAAAAATCCTTTTACAGTGCAGTTAATCTCCTGTAACATACTGTGATAACATCTTTTTTGGTTTTTTTTCTCTTGTACATCACTTCATCTGAGAGGAATGCTACTTAATACTTCAAGCAGAAAAAAAGAAAATGGATTGCTTTGCAGGCATATTGCATGACTAGCTACTTCTTGTCAAAGATACAATGAACAGCAACTGAAAAACCTTTGTAAGCATGATCTTTTATTATAGGAGAGCTCATAAGGTCAATGTAATCATCAAATATAAAATGCATTAGGTTATGTATCTAAGATTATGTGTATCTATGAAATGTAACTGTACCATCTAGAAAATTATCTTAATTTATTTATTTTTCCAGTTTTGTTAAAGATTAGCATAGACAGTTTTATTTAAAGGTGGGAGTGAATATATTTTGTGGTTAACCCACAGGTGTGAAAATCAAAAATAAGGGTAGAAGGTCTAGTCTAAACAGTGCCACTGATTTGCTATGTGATCTTGTGTAAGTAATTTAGTCTTAGATTTTCAAAAGTGACTTCTGTATTATGGGTACCCAACTTTAGACAGCTATGGCCTTATTCTCAGTGCTGTTGAGCACATGCAACTCCCACTGAGTTTTCAGATTTTCTCCTCTTATTCATTAATCTTTCTGGCCTGGAAATTTTATAATTGACAGCTTTTAAAACTAAAATGGGCCAAATGATGACACGGATAGGTACAACTCAACTGACTGCAATGGAGTTGCATCCCCTTATGTGAGTGTTGATTTTTACCCAGTAATCACACAATGGGCTGAACCAGAAAGCACTAAATGGATTCCATTAATCTTCACTCGTCTGGTGATCCAAAACCTTTTAGCAACTTTGAGGGCACACAAAAAATAGGATTCCTCAGGAAGTATCAGAGTTCTCCTTCATGATGGACCAGTCTGTGGTGAGCTGGTGCAGGAATGGTTGTCCTCTACTCAGTGCCAATAACAACTTAGGGTAATGTGTCCCATCAGTGATGCAACTTTTGTAGTCCCTGAGATATGAGCTAGCCACTGATTTTCCACCTTTGGCAAGAGTTCTTTGCAGTTATGATGCATTTTCGCCTAGAAGCTTACTCTAAATTGGAGCAGAGTGCCAAGAAGTAAAGGAATCCTGGTGAAGTCAGGTTGAAGAGAGAAGCTTATCACTATGCATAAACTGATGGCACCTCTTGCCTGGGACCCAGTTTTCTCACAAGGAAAGAGTTTAATAGTGAATTTGTATTTAAGGGCCTATATCCTATTGTGGCCTCTTTTTGACCTGAGTGGCTTGTCAAATTTCAGAACCTGGGGGATGTTCCAGTTGGAAGCAGAAATAGTGTCTGGTATTCTTTCTGATGCAATCTTGTTTATTTATAAGGAACATACAAAGTCTTTTTTCTCCGAATGCTGAAGGAACCAATAACAAAAGGAGTAGTTTCTTAGTTTATAGCTCGTTAGCCAAGAGATCCAAAAAGCTCTCTCTCTCTAGTCTTACAGGCTATTGCTTGGCTTTCTTGATTTTTGTCTCTTCCTCCGTCTTTTCTTGTCTGTTCTCAGGTTGTGTGTGTTCTCTCACATCTTGATCTTCCTGCCCCCTCTGCACCCCTAATCACAATACTGAGCAGAATCCTCCACCCATATGGTGCTAGCTTCTGGGCAGAGTCTCTTAGGCCTTGTTTTAGGTGCATCCCCTTAACTGTCTCTTACAATTATCTTAAATGAAGACTGTGTTTCACACATCAGTTTGAACAAAGTTTTGACTCTGCCCCTAACAAGGTTGCACCCAGTTCATAACACTATTTATTTCAAGGCCCATAAAGTGTCCAGTGGAGTTGGGCATGAAAGGCCAATGAGTGGAATGGGGGACCGCATTGGACTGTTTTTTCTGCCAGGTAGCAGGTGAAGAGAATTTCTTCTCCTTTTGACAATTTGTTTAAATAAAGGCTTGGCCAGCATTTAAACCAAGATGGAGTTTTGTGGAGTTTTTATTTACCAGTGACTGAGTAGCAGTTACTGATACACTAAGGTTATGTCTACACTACAGACCTTACAGCAGCACAGCTGTACCGCTGCAGATGTGCCACTGTAAGGTCTCCTGTGTAGGTGGGAGAGTTCTCCCGCCAGTATAATTAAACCATCCCCAACAAGTGGTGGTAGCTATGTCGGCAGAAGAGCGTATCCTGCTGACACAGCACTGTCCACACCAGCACTTTCGTCAGTGAAACTTTTGTCGGTCGGGGTGGTTTTTTTCACAACCCTGACCGACAAAAATTTTACTGACAAAAGTGCTAGTGTAGACAAAACCTTATTCTGCTTTGTAATTGTCTCTGAGAGCTAGCTATGAAAAGTGCTTAATAAGTGCTACGTGTTATTATTACCTAATTAGGACAGTTTCCAATTTTTAAATACTACACTAGTTGGAGCTAATTCAGAACCCTCAGAAAAATAAACAGATTTCTTCTGTTTTTGGGAATAATGGCAATTTGCTTATATGATATAATTGTCCCCAATTCTTTGTTATCTGAAAATCATTATAAAGCCCCATCAGCAGTATTATCTTCAGTGTATATTATGTACTGAACATACCATTGCTAAAATTCATGATTATTTAGTGTTAAAGTTTGACAATATAGCAAATATTTCAAGCCATAAATATTATTAGACAGTGTAAGTAAATATTTCATTTTACTTTATATTTTTAACAGTACAGATTATATTTTGCTTCACTCACCTTCTGTAAAACAGGCCTCTGGCTCAGTAGCTTCTTCGGGTTCAGCTTCATGTTGCTCTTCTTCAGGATGTCCAATATCAACCGTGCTACCTTCAGATGAGCTGGACAAATTTAGCTTCTGTTAAATAAAAAACCCCACAAAGATTTAATCAACGTATTTAAGGTAAATATTAATGCTCACAGACATAGCAAAAATTAATCGTATGTGTCTACTCTTTTACATTTTTGAATGTTTTAGTGCTCAATTTAGGTAAGTAATTGATACATTTGTGCTCATTTTAGCTGCCACTTCAGTACTCTATGTGTCCTTTTAATACAAAGTTAAACCAGGCATTTTATTAATTATTACTATTGTTTCTGGAAAGCATTATAGAAATATAGGCCTATATTCCTGGGCCTGAGTGAACTATGGTTTTAAATTGAGTTTGGTTGTTAGCATGAGTGATGGGCCCAAAGCACATGATCAAAAAGAAGGAGATCATGAGAAAGAAGGGTTGTTTGTATTAAATTTGTAGTGTCCCTTGAAATACCAGCATTGTTTTCTTTAAGGTTTGGGTTGAAGTAATACAAATAAAGAAAACATGGTTTAATGGGGTCCAGGCAGAGTAAATAATTGGTTAGATAGGTTTGTTTAATTTATGATAAAGAAATGCTTAGTCCAGTAGTTAGTTAGGACTGCTTGTTTTAACTGGGCCAGAGAACTGGGTTTAGCCCTAAACTGCCTCATCCGGCTTTAGCTAAAGTCTGATAACCTGCCATGACATCACTTGTTTATTATAGTGTATAAAGGGCAAGTTTTTTGGAGTTTCTTTGTCAGAGCTGTTCCTTACCCTTCCGGAGTCACACTATAATATGACGGTATCTCCTGAGCCTGCTTTTGTTGTGAGTATTTGGCCAATGCTTATAACTGTATTAGGACTAGAATATAAAGTATAAGTGTGTATATGCTTGTATTTTGGATGTAATCAATATCAAGTGGCCTTTAACTAATAAAGGAATATTTTTAGGGAAATTATTTCCAATAGGCATCATCAAGACTTAGTTAAGGAAATTAATGGTACACATACACACACAAACACACTCCGGTGTGTACGTTGCTGTACTGCTAACCAGTGCAAGCATATAAGAAGTATTTGAATAACAGCACTATGCAAAAGGTTTGTAACCAACTGGTTTTATGTTTCATTGAACAATGAACCCAAAGCTTGCTTACATTTGTAAACTTGAGGACCAAGCACAGGTTGAAAGTTAAGAAGTTCTGAGGAGTTTTACCACTGACATCTTTTATGACTTTGGGGAAGTCACTTCAGCTGAAATTTTAATATTTGGGTGCCCATTTTGGGACACTGTAAAGGACCGGATTTTCACAAAGTGGTAAGCAGCTACTCTTTGAAAATCAAGCTTTTCAGTATTCTCTCTAAAATCATAAGGGCTTGAAGCAATTTTGAAAAAAAGACAAAAAGCTGAGATTCTGGAGCAATATCCACAGCTGCAGCATTGTGGAATACATTGAATTCTGGGTATAACAGATGCTTAGTGTAGAAAATTAAGATGGAAAAGAGAAAACAGTTAATGTGAAATATGTAGTATGCCTCATTCTGTCATAAAGTAGTTGCAATTAACAAGAGTAAATTCTCAGACAAGAGAAGCAACTTTTAATGAAAACATGAAATGAACTGAAAGTCATGATACAAATTCTGACATCTACAAGCATAGACCAGACTTGGATGAAGAATATAATATTATGATAGCATTTTAGTTGACAAACAACCCTGTCATGTTTCACCTGCTAGGGGAACTCAGTAGTCTAACCCAATCTTCTGAGATATGAAAAACACCAAGTTTTGTTTGATGATAATTGTGAAGTTTACCTATTATGGAGGAGGAACTAACATGTAATAAAACTGCATGCTGTGTATGTTAATGCTATAAATGAGATAGCAACATTTTGAAACTGAAAAAAGTAATGATGAAGACTTACACACATGCCTAATCTTCTAATCTGACATGGTGTGAGTAGTCCTATTGATTTCAATGGAAAAACTCACAAGGCATGAAGTTAAATATGTGTATAAATCTTTAAAGTATCATGGCCTTAGCTTTTATATATTAAATGCTCATTTCAAGAGATGAGATGTGACATCTGTTGCTATACTTCCAACTACTGGTGAAGAAAAATGTTTGAGGGCAGCATTATTGATCTATTTCTGTATTCTGTTGACATTTGCAGCTGATAGAGGTATTTGCAATGCTCTTAATTTTTTAAACTTTTTTCTAAATTTTATTTTGCATTCATAAAGGTAGAAAACACCTAATTAAAGAGACTGAAACTTCTTTATTGTTCTTCACTATATGGGACTACCTGCTTAGTAAAATACAATTCAATATGAGCAATGGTTGAAGCTCACCTCTAGCTTGGTCAATGAAAAAAGACTAATCAATTTTACTTTTTTATGTAGTTAGTTTCTAGTTACCGTCACTTCCTAGCATTATAAATAGTCTTGGAAGGATTAGACTTGTATTGGTAAATGTCAGTAAACATTGATTTCACTGTACACACACAAACCGATGGAACAATATTTCCATTGATAAATAACCAAAAATTACAAATAGGCAAAGAAAGAAAAATCATAGAATCATAGAAATTTAGGGCTGGAAGGCACCTTGATAAGTCATCAATTCCAGCCCCCTTCACTGTGGCAGGAGCAAGTAAACCTAGATCATCACTGACAGGTGTTTGCCCAACTTGTTTTTAAAAGCTTCCAATGAAGGGGATTTCCACAACCTACCTTGGAAGCCTATTCCAGAGCTTAACTACCCTTATCGTTAGAAAGTTTTTCTTAATATCTAACGTAAACCTCCCTGGCTGCAGATTAATCCCATTGCTTCTTGTCCTACCTTCAGTGAACATGGAGAAAAATTGATCTGCGACCTCTTTATAACAGCCCTTAACATGTTGAAAAACTTATCAGATCCTCCTTCAGTCTTCTTTTCTCAAGACTAAACATTCCCAGTTTTTTCAGCCTTTCCTCATACGTCAGTTTTTCTAAACCTTTTACTATTTTTGTGCTCTCCTCTGGACTCTTTCCAATTTGTCCACATCCTTTCTAAATTATGGTGCCCAGAATTGGACACAGTACTCCAAGTTGGGACCTCACCACTGCTGAGTAAAGCAGGACAATTACCTGCTGTGTCTTACATATAACACTTTTGTTAATACATCCCAGAATCATATTAGCCTTTTTTGCAGCTGCATCACACTGATGACTCATATGCAGTTTTTGGTCCACTATAACCCCCAGATCCTTTTCAGCAGTACCATCACCTAGACAATTATACCCCATTTTGTAGTTGTGCAGTTAACTTTTCCTTCCTAAGTGAAGTACTTTTCACTTGTCTTTATTGAATTTCATCTTATTAAATTCAGACCAATTCTCCAATTTGTCAAGGTCCTTTTGAATTTTAAACCTGCCTTCTAAAGTGCTTGCAACCCATCCCAGCTTGGTGTTATCTGCAAATTTTATAAGCATATCTCTCCTCCATTATCTAAGTCATTAATGAAGATATTGAATATTACCAGACCCAGGATTGAGCCCTGCGGGACATCACTAGATACGCTCTCCCAATTTGACAGCAAACCATTGATAACTACTCTTTCAGTACAGTCTTTCAATCAGTTGTGCACCCACCTTATAGTAAATTCATCTAGACCACATTTCCCTAGTTTGCTTATGAGAACATCATGTGGAACTGTGTCAAAAGCCTTATTAAAACCAAAGTTTATCACATCTACTGCTTCCTCCCTATCCATTAGGTCAGTAATCCTATCAAAAAAGAAAATCAAGCTGGTTTGGCATGGATTTGTTCTTGATAAATCCATGCTGACTATTCCTTATAACCCTATTGTCCTACAGGTGCTTTCAAATTAATCGTTTAATAATTTGCTCCGGTATCTTGAAGTTAGACAGACTGGTCTATAATTCCCTGGGTCGTCATCCTCCTCCTTTTTACAAAATGCTGCTTGAGAACTTAGAGTCAAAACTCAGTGATTTAAACTGCTGAATTAGGCTTGTTACAAATGGACTAGTGAATGAATAGTAAAACCAGGTCTGATTTGTTGATTTGAGGATATTTACTTTATATATTTTGACAAGTGATGATAATTTGTGTTTTAATGGTTTATAAATCTTTAACTCTTTGAATCTCAAATCTGCTGTTATTAAATAATTGTTATTGTTTGACCTCCCCATAATTTCCTGCAACTATGAAAATTTAAATTAATAAAAATTGAAAAAATGCTTAAAAATAAACATTGATATTATTGACTGAAATTATTTAAAAAAATAGAATTCTGTCAAGTTAAAGTATAAAGAGTGCAAAGGACAGCTTGCTTTAGCCAAAGATGGGGGAAAAAGATAAATGAACAGTACTTAACTTAATTCTAGTGAGTAGCAGTATAGGCCTTCTTTATAGGAAAAGTAATACATTTCCAGGTTTCTCCTTGCTTTCTTCCCCCACCTTGGAAGCCAATTTGTCATGTCTACTCATTGTCAAGCCAAAGAGTTCCCTTCCTGTCATGTACCAATCTTCCTCTTCTGTCTCTGTTCACCCACCTGAATAATTAACCTTTTCCCCTGATGTCCACCCAAAGATCCCACTAATTTTCCATTCCGGAGATTCCCTGTCTCACAGTTTCCCATTGTCTCTCTCCCAAATCTTACCTTTTTATCCCTCCAAAGTTCCTCTTCAATCCCCAGTATCTCCACCTTCCCCCAGGCTCCTCCTCACCTAGGTCCCACTTTCCTCAGTTGTACTCCCCTAGCTTTACCTCTTCATAGCCAGCCCCATCTCCCCTACGCTACCTATCCTTCCCATGGCTGTCACTCCCCATGCTAAGTGGCACCAGTCCCCCACATAGATGTCGTCCCTCCACACAGTCATTTATCTTGTGCCTGTCTCCACCAAAAATGGTCTTCCCCCTTGTGTGCGACTCCCTCTCATAGCTGTCTGCTTCCCACAAAGGGGAAGGAAAAAATGGTGTTGCTCCTTCCTGGTCCCACGCCCCTCCTGCTGTGCAGACCCTCAGAGTTGGTATGGGGAAGGGAAAGGATCCAGAGCTGGAGGCAGCAGGAGTCACAGCTGCTGCCTCCTGTCTGCTCAGCAGTAGAACATGTGCCCCTGGCTGGAAGGAGGCTGAAACTGCATCTGCCTCTGTCTATTGAACCTATTGGCTAAAGCAGAGTTTAAATTCTTCTGCCTAAAACAAAGAAACCGAGATTTGCAAAACCAAGAAGGAACACGACATTAATCTCATTGATCCCCTGCATAGTTCTAGGGGGTGTCCAATATTTGAGACACTCTAAAAGCCAGAAACCATTGATAAGGCATAGACCACCACTTTTAGCTACAGGAGTATGGAGATAAAGGTAACTTTAATTGCAGGGTGGCACAGAAAGAAAAACTTGATATCCAGAAAACTCTGGATCCGCCCCAGAGCTCACATTCTTGAGAGGGGAAAGAAAGTGGATGCAAAAGTATCATTCAGTCATGCTGGCAAGCAGAGCTGGCTCTACTGTTTTTGCCGCCCGAAGCAGCGTGCCGAATTGCCGCCATGGACGGCGGGGGCAGTCCGTGCACCGGAAGACAGAAGCCGCTGAATTGCCCCCACGGGCAGCTGAACATAGAAGCTGCCGCCGAATTGCCACCCTAATGGCACATGGACTGCCCCCGCCGTCTGTGGCAGCAATTCGGCGCCCTGTTTGTGGCGACAAAAACACATGGACTGCCGCCCCTTGCAGATTGCCGCCCCAAGCACCTGCTTGGAAGGCTGGTACCTGGAGCTGGCCCTGCTGGCAAGGAGGGAAGCCCCTTTATACATGACAACGCAAAGTTCTGTGCCCTGTTGCCTCCCTATGTCAGTTCTCACGAAGTGAAAATTTAGCACCACAATTCAATATTATTCCTGCATCATACACATCCCTCAGCAGCACATCCTGGGAGGTAGCTTCCCTTCATCTTGTATAAGAGGAAAGTTAATGCAATTGTGATGTGTCAGCAAACATGAACTGCTCTGAGAGACTTGCCAGAAAAGGAACCATAGGATCCTGGAATGTGAGGCCATGCATTCAAGGAGATGCTGCTGAAATACCAGGAAATGCCCTGAGTTGTTTAGACATTAAGGCACTGAATTCCTGAAGGCACCTCTGTTCATCTTACAGTGCAAAGCAACCAGAAGGGCACTGGTTGGAAGAATGTGTCTTTGAGGCACCAACACACCAGAAAATCCTGTGTGCTGGGACATCAGTGTTCCATTAGCAAAACCCTCAAACAGGCCTACAGTGCCCCAGAGGGCCAAAATCTTTAAATTGGGGGAGTTTCCTGAATGACTTTCACCGGAGGCACAAGATCCAGGAGTGAGAATCCTGCACAGATGATATCTTTAGAAAATGTAATTTATTTTCCTTTTCTGGGATAGATCCTGCAAACACTTACTACCAAGTCTAGTGTTTACTACCATGTTTGCAGAAACAGGCCTTATGCCCTGATCCTGTAAACCCATATGCACGTGCTTAATTTTATTACAGAGAATAATCCCATTGAAATCAAATGAGCTAATCAGGGTAATAAAGGAAAGCACGTACATAACTGTTTACAGAATTGGGACCTTAGTTTATAAGCCCTCTGGTGTCAGAGTGTCTGTAGCTCTTAGCTGAGATGAGGAAGCGGGAAGGCAAGGAGCCATCGCACTCCTGATATTCTGCCTCATTCATGTTGTTACTATCAGAAAGAATTATATAGAGAAGTATAAAAGACAAAGATTCCAGTTGCTTGTTGAACTTTTCATTATTTACTGTACTTTATATAGTTTTCACAACTCTTCTTTTTGTGTTATACTGTTGCATAAATCCAGGATTTATCAGTTTCACAGATCAAAAGTACTTTGAATGTCATTCCATAGTCTTTCAAGGGTTATTCATTTTCACTTATGACAGCCTGCTTGCTTTCAAGTTAGCTAAGAAAATAAACTAATGAGAAAGGTCATTAGATCTCATGCTTTAGCCATAAACCAAACATCTGTGAGTTCAGTAAGGAAATGCTCCTCCTGCGACCTCTTATACTGCATCTAGGTACATTGTGCAGAGGTGTGTGTGATGCAAGGAGGAATAGTTTTACTTAAATTTGGCCACTATTTAAATTGTTCCATCTTTAACAGCAAAATGGGAGATGGTTATTAATACCTCAAGTATTAACTGGGAAATGGTGACAATATCATCACCAGTACAGATTGTCGGGGTAGTCCCAGGGACTGCTCTAAATTGCTTTATGGGGTAGAATTTCAAGGACTATCGTATGAACATAGCATTCAAGTCTTGGTGGGCTGGACTGTCTCAGATAACTTAAGGAATACCTTCATGTTCTTTAGGTCAGTAATTTGTGATCTCTGGTTCAGATGATTGGCTATGGACACCCTCTGCTGTAAGATTATGGATGAAATCCTGATCCACTGAAATGAATGACAAAACTCCCATTGACATCAGTCTGGCCAGAATTCAACCCTATGTGCTTTCCCATTTGTTTACTTATTGTGGTTTATTTATTTATTAAAAATGATGACATTTGGATCAAAATGGCCGAGCGAGTCCAGGCTGTTGTGTTTGACTATATTGCAATTCTAGTATTCGATTCACTACTTTGTAAAAAACATTTATGGTATCTTGTGTTCTTCCATTGGCTTTATTTTTCAGTTTTAGCAACTAAATGGTTTTGTAGTACATCAGATAACCTGAACTTAAACATCATTTTATTAGACTCTTGGTCTACAAAAGCTGATCATTCAGAAAGCTAAAAAGAATGTTTTTCATGCAAGATGTATCTATTCTTTGGGCCTAGTTCATCCCTGCACTAGTTCATGCTGAAAGAAAAACAGAAAAATTATCACAATATTAAAAAATAAGTATATAAGCAGTATTTAAATACCTCTTTGCTTTCTTCCAGATCCGACTCACTGCTAAACTCTTCTGTATTTAAATTTTCAAAATCTGATTCTCCAACAGCAATCGGTACTGTTACAGTGAGGCTTGGGTTGTTTATGAATGACATGTAATCACTTTCATCAATGATATATTTTTCCACGCTGCTGCCTGTGCCTATGCCACTAGTTCCATTGCCATCTTTAAGATAATCAAGGTCTTTGTTTATTTCCACTGTAAGATGATTAGAAATGCAGCTGTCTTTTTTGTTTAGTTCTTCAAGTGGCTTGATTTCATTTAAAGCTTTTTGTTTTTTAACGAAGGATTTTTGGACAAATTCATGTACTTTTCTTTTCACATAATCTATTCCCTTCTCAATTCTTGCTACAGCAATCTGGAGATTATTCATTTCATTATCATCATCGGTGGCAGCAAGGTTGTCTGCACTAAATGAGCTCAGTAGCAAGGCCAAAAATAGGTTCAGAACCTGGAACAGGATAGAAAAGGAATTCCTAGATTTATCTCAGTGGAAATAATTTCTTGCTAGAATACTTTCTAAAGCTATGTGAAGGATGTGTCTAAAGGACCAAAGTTACAAACAAACAAACCCAAACAACCCAAGAACTGTGTTTTTATACTGAATGGAGTGTTATATCTTTAATAAACTTACACTAAAACACTTGCATTAGAAAAAGGTGTGTTTATAATTCATGATAATTTGAAGAAGGGCAAATCATATAGTAAAAAAAGTGATTCACAAATATTATGACAAATGAAAGAACTAAATATGGTTTGCTATGATTCATAGGGCCATATTATTCACCAATCACAAATAGTCAGACAACTGGCAAGTATTTGAGAAAATGCTTTTGAATCCCAAAAGTTTACAAATATTGGCACAAAAAAAATGTTATTCAAAAATTCAGACAGGAAGTTTGTTATTCTTCATCATCCTGTTTAAAAAGTTTCACTTCTCCAATCAGAGAACAGAAACTATACCATGTGTTTTACGTGACCGTACACACATAATAAATAAGTTTATAAAAAAGGCACAGGCTGAACATTATTTGAAGCACACTGTATTTGCAAATTGCAAAAACAAAAATTAAGAGAGTGACTAAAGTTCACTCTATGATTATATATCATGAGTTTGATCCTGCAAGGTGTGGAGTATTCTGTTTCCAATCCAGCAAAGTACTTAAGCTTAATTTTAAGCATATGAGTAGTTCAATTGAAATCATATGCTTAAGTGCTTTATTGAGATGGGGCCAGAATTCTCATTGCATTGCAGGATTGAATTGTTTTTTTCCCCAGAATAAATCTTTGAAACATTTTGATTACGTACCACTAGATTTCCAATCACCATGACCATCATGAAGACAGTAAGGCACATAGCTTGGCCTGCAACCTCCATACAGTCCCACATAGTCTCTATCCATTCTCCACACAACACTCGGAATACTATCAAGAAAGAGTGGAAGAAGTCTTGCATGTGCCAGCGTGGAAGTATACAGTCATTGGAGATCTTGCAGACACATTCCTTGTAGCTTTTACCAAACAACTGCATACCAACCACAGCAAAAATGAAGACAATGATGGCCAGCACCAACGTCAAATTTCCCAAAGCCCCCACTGAGTTACCAATAATCTTTATCAGCATATTCAGTGTTGGCCAAGATTTTGCCAATTTGAAAACTCGTAACTGAAAAAAAAGAATAAAAAGGCATTGTTAGTACTGATTTTAACGGAGACACAAAAGTGTTTTACAAATTAGTTTGTGAAAAAAGTATTGCTGCCAATGATGAAAATGCTGCAGACTTTTACAACTTGGTACCCCAAGAGCATAGTCTTGGATCAAGGATGTAAAAGCCCAGAGACACACCTCATGCAACTTAAAATCTAGGATTCAGTGTTACCCTCAGATGCCACAGAACTTCAAGACTACCTACCTACCTGTGTGTACATAAAGAAGAGATCCATTCTGATAATATCAGTAGGAGCACAATAAAGATATTCAGTAAGTCCATTTGTTTCTCCACTGTAAAATACTTGAAGTAAGTAATTGCAATAAAAATTTGGAAATAGGCCCCACTCCTACATTGGGATGCATTAGTATGGATTCCTGCAGCGTCCCCATTAAAGACAACAGGACACTGCATGGCCAGGGGTACATATAAGTGGATCACATTTTTGGATCAGGGTCATAATGACCTTAAGTTATCTTGTTAAGACACAAAAGTTGAATTAAAATATTATTAGTGCAACAAAGCCTGTAACTGTAAATTGCAATAACATTTTGTTTTATTAATATATTTACCAATCTGAATGATCGGAGAACTGATAGTCCTTCCACATCTGCAAGACCAAGTTCAATCAAACTAAGTGTTACAATAAAACTATCAAAAATATTCCAGCCTTCTTGGAAATAATAATAAGGATCCTTGGCAATTATCTTCAGAAACATTTCTGCTGTGAAGATCCCAGTGAAGACCTAAATTCAAAAGGCAATTTATTATTCAGTTGGAAAATTTAAATTACCATTATTTGTGCAGATTTTACATTCCAGCTACATATCTTCAATGAGCATAATTTAGAATGGCTATTCACAAAAATTCTTAAATTCAAATCCTTAAAATAATCAAAGGAAGGTCAAATTATTTTATTTAGTACTTTATTATTAGTGTTTAAAATCTGTTGCTTTAAAAAGAATGATCATAGTGACATCTTATACACAGCTTCCGATAGAAACTCCATCACAGAACACGTACGCAATCTTCTTTTCATTTGATTTAATTTTACAGGAAATAAATTACTTAAGCTTCTGGTTTATAATACAATTTTAAAACTATTTATGGTGACCATACATACCGTTTTGGCTGAGACAGTACCGTTTTTAAACCCTATCCCGGCCGTCCTGACTTTTCTGGCAAACCTGAGTATTTGTCTCGTTTGCTCTTGTCAACTAATGACCAGTTGGCAAGAGCAAACGGGACAAATGCCCAGTTTTGCCAAAAAAGTGGGGTGTGACCCCTAGCGGGGCATGGAGGAATGCGTGGGAGGGAGGAGCGGCAATGCCAACCCTGCACGAGAGGGAGGGCTCGGGGGAGTGGCTCATGCCAGCCACGCACGAGTGGGCGGCAGGGGGTCTTGTGTCAGCCCTGCATGTGTGGGGGTAGAGAGAGGCCTCAGCCGGCCCCGTGCGGTGTCCTGCTTTCCCTTTGGGAAAATATGGTCACCCTAACTCTGTTAGAATGCAAGCTCTTTTTTCCACAGCAAAGCAATGCCCCCAATTTAATTTTCACATTATGCAATAGAATGCTTTCCAAAAAATTACATGCTACTCTGCCTAGAACACTATTGTTGGGATATTAATGACACTATAAAGATATGCTCTTATACGGCCTAATTTCACAAGATCTAGCAAGATCAACAATTTACATCAAGTGGGGATCTGCCCAGGAGTCTTCTCCTTGATTTCAATGCACATTAGATCGTTAACAGGATTATGATGGCATTTAATATTATAGGTAGTTTAGACATACTAACTTCATTTCCAATTAAGCTTTTGTAAGGGATATATACATAGAATAGATATGTCTTGAATGATTAATAACTACTGAGTCCTTCTGGCTCTCAACAATTAGAAAAGCTATCCATCTCTGTTTATTCCAAAAAAGGACCAACCTAGGAAGAAAATACAATAAAAAATGGTTCACATCATGTGAGACACTTTGTCTAAGGACCCTCAAAGCAGCCAAGGCAGAGCAAGGGCGGGGCCTCAGGGGAGGGAGCAAAGTGGGGCAGGAAGAGTGGAGCAAGGACGAGGCCTTGGGGGAAGAGGTGGAGCGAGGATAGGACCTCGGAGGAAGGGGCGGAGCGAGGGCGGGGCCTCGGGGGGAGCGGGGGTGAAGCACCCCCAGGGAAAAATAAAAGTCAGCGCCTATGCTTAAAAGTGCCTTAGAGACAAGTGCATCCTTGGAAATGTGATAAATATGTTAGGTACTAAAGAACTGAGAATTGATGATCATAAGTAAATGTAATAAGAAATCGTGGTAATTTACATTGTTCCTTGCTATAACTGCTGAGCTTCAACTCTAGACTGTGATAATTGCTTACAAGACTGTATTATGTGTGTAGTACACACCTAAAACATTTGTTGTGTCTACACTTGAGTGGTGAACTATTGATTGTATATTAATGTGATTTTAAGTAATTAATAAATTGCTGGTTAGTTAAAAATAAGCAAGTGTCCTGATTTGAAAAATACTGTTCAAGTTAAAAGTTGACTTGAAAAGAATCCAGCATTAAAAAAAATTAAGCTTACACTCCCTGGATGCAAGGAAAAGGAGATATCCTATTAAATTCCATTCTATATTGACTAACCTAGTTTGTTAGATTTCAGCTTTAAAATCTAACTGGCACCTTGGCAAATTCATAAACATTGTCCCCCTTTCACACTTACACTTTGCAATGATATATACTATATCAAATCATATGATGTAGAATACTTTCACCAACCAAGGTTAGGAGACATTTCTTTGGGTGGGAAACAAACTATACAATTCTAGAGCAACACATTTTATGGTTTATCATGTGATTGTCATATAAAATGTCCTGTTCTTAATACATAGTATATTATTTGAAGTATAGAGAATCAGGTTTTTTGTCTGCCTGCTAATTCTGCATCATCTAATCTTACAGCTATTTACATGTTCTAAAATATATTTCCTTCACATTGCAATAAATATAAATGATATTAAAGAAGCACATTACATGAAATCTATTCTTGAAATAAAACAAAGTAGAACTGTAGGTTCAAGTGTTTAAATGTTTATATGGTCCAACCTCTTAATTTAAAAGCTTTAGAGCTGCAGAGAACCAACTGACAAACTTCTTAATTTATCTTTATCTTAATTTCTTTTCTATATACTAACCGTAGCATTGCCAGGTTACTAACCAATCTGATGGTCATTTACAATTAGAAAACCTACTGAGATGCAATATTTTAGGAAACTACATTTCCATACTGAAAATTGTTGTTTGCGAGTGTTTTAACGTAATTTCTGGAAGTACTACCTTTCAATAGATGTGCCCGAAGAAACTACGAAAAACCATATTTGTATATATTGACATGAAGAAGATGAAATTCAAACATGTTAAAGAGGTTTGAATAGATTAAATCTGAGATGATTCAATAGATATGCCAAGTGATGTATTAAACAAAGTATTACTTTATACTGTTAATCTATATGTCTTGAGAAAGAATTGAAGGTGGGAGCTCCAAAAATTTAGTGAAATACAGACCTAACTAAAGGACAACTCAATTAGTTAAAAAAAACCAGAAGAAATTCCTGCCTAAAGCTATAATACAGATATAGTTCCTTCAAAACCAAACAAATAAGCAAAATAAAAACATGTCACAAGACAAACTGAAAGACTTACCAGGTTTCCAACAGAAAGTACACTATTGAATTCTTCAGTCATTGGATAATGTTCCATGGCCATAAATAGTGTATTTAAAACAATGCAAATAGTAATAGCGAGATCAACAAATGGGTCCATCACAACTAAATTGACAATATGCTTTACTTTTAACCAACGTGGACTGCAGTCCCAGATCAAGAAAATGTTTGCAAATTTGTACCAGCATGGTGGGCATTTCTGTCTTGATTCTTCAAGTTCTAAGGAAAAATGTGTAAAAAAAATAAAATGTAAAATATCTGCATGCCATACTATACAGTGTCAAAGACCTCTTCGAAATCCTCTAGCCACATTTTCAGAGAACGGTGTAGCACAGCAGTTCTCAACCAGGGGTCCGGGGCCCCCGGAGGGCTGTGAGCATGTTTCAAGGAGTCTGCCAAGCAGGGTCAGTGTTAGATTCTCTGGGACTCAGGGCAGAAAGCCGAAGCCCTGTCATGCAGGGTTGAAGCCCGTGGCTCTGAACCCCACCACCCAGGGCTCAACCCAAAGCCTAGGCAATTTAGCTTCGTGTTGCCCCTGTGGCGTGGAGCCCCGGGAAATAGCCATGCTTGCTACCCCCTAATGCTGGCCCTGGTTTTTATAGGCAGAAAAACAGTTGTTGTGGGACTGGTGGGCCGTGGAGTTTTTACAGCATGCTGGGGGGGCCTCAAAAAGAAAAAGGTTGAGACTTCCTGATATAGCAGGTGTGCCCGTTAAATATTCATCTATTTGAAAACAAATTCTTATTTGAGCACAAAAACACGTACTTATGCAGCCATTTTGTGCACAGTGATATGGATTTTTGATATGATGAGCTTTATAATAGCAAAATCAGTGCTTTGTGACCACATGACCTGGAATGACACAAAAGTCTCACTAAGTAATGTGAGACAAACACATTAATTGGGAGTTCTTTTAGTCTATCTAGAAATATTTCCTGATAGCATAGGTGCAGAAAGTAGAGGTGCGGGGTGGTGGCGGCCCTGTGCCCCATTCCCCTGCCGCTGGCTCCGCACCTTGGGCCCTGATCCTGGCTCTCTGCCCGGGGCTTGGGTCCTGGCTGCCGGCCCCGTGCCCAGGGCCCCACTCCCAGCCCCCTGCCATGCACTTCGCTCCCTAATCCTGCACCTGGGTCTCGGGTTCTGGCCACTGGCCCCACTCCCCAGCCGCTGGCCCCATACCCGGCAGGGCCGGCTCCAGGCGCCAGCGAAGGAAGCAGGTGCCTGGGGCGGCAAATAGAAAGGGGCGGCACTCTGTCCGTTATTGGGATGGCACGTCCGGGTCTGGGGCGGCAATTCGGCGGCAGGTCCTTCAGTCCTTCTCTTCCTCTTCGGCGGCAACTCAATCGCTCCCATTCAGTCTTCGGCGGCAATTCAGCGGCAGCTCTATCGAGTTTTTCTTTTTTTCGCCGCTGGAGCCGGCCCTTATACCCGGGGCCCCACGCCCAGCCCCCTGCTTCCAGGGCTCCACTCCCAGGGCTCCACGCCAGGCCCCACGCCCGCCCCCAGCCGTGGCCACAGCCTCGGCCCCCTTACCTCTGTCCAGGTCTCCCCCTTCCCAGAGACACATCCCTGCTCCCAGCCTCAGCTCGGAGGGGTGGGGCGCGGACAGAGGTACGGGGGCTGGCTTTCAGCACCCCCACTACTAAAAATGTTCCAGCACCACTGGTACAAAGGGACAATATCAGGTTAAAATATACATATCTAAAGTTATTGTTTTAGTTTCAAATGACAGTTTCAGAAGTTCACTGAAAATACACTAACATTTTAAATTCAATATTTTACACACCTTCCATAGTATTTGTGAGTATGCTAGCTATACTCATTGCTCTGTCTCTTTGAGCAGGGTCTTCCAGAAAATCCATAGAAACATGAAAGGAACTGGATCTTCTCTTTCTGGTTTCTGTTTCAGTAGTCATGCCCTGCAAATAGAGTAATAATGGATAGGATCATCATCTTGAGTGATACAATAAGCAAATACTACATACACTGAATTTCTAAATTTGAAGGAATACATGCTTCATGCAATTTAATTTTTTGTTTAATTTATCATGCAAGACTTTTCTTACTTATTGTATTAACCTAGCATTTTCAAAATATATTAAAGAAATTTTCTCAATTGAATCACTCATCCTCCTGCACAGTCAGTTACTAGAAATCCTCAGTTCAATACATAACATATGAAGTTTGTGGGAGAGAAATGTGAAACTGAATAATTATTCAACAATCTAAATCTCAGTACCATTTATGAGAAATGAGTCAAACATATTGAAACATTTGCAGATGTTTAGTTCTTCTTATAAAACGTCTCATTGTTGTAAAATTACAAGGTATCCATCCAGTCTTAAACAGCAACAAATAAAAAAAGTCTCATTTAGTCATGCTTCCACATGCTGGTATATTCCCAAGTACTCTAAGTGGACAACCTTGAAATAAGATAACCAAATATTTTTAGAGATATTCTGCTATCTGTATATACACATAGATTATAGCACATATGTGCACACAGACATTTTTGTTTTTGAAGGTGGGTGCATGAATGTGGTGCCTCAAATAACTGTTTAGTTTATTTTCTATACTAGAGACCTACATCAAAAAAGGGGGAAAAGCGCATAGGAATGAAAACATATATATGATAGCGCTGAATGTATACTGTTATTATATTGTAGTGAATGTATACTGTTATTATATTGCAATGAGCTGATAAAGCCCAATGTTATCAAAATTATCTACAACAAATTCAGGGTTATACTGACTGAATTCATATGGTAAGATTTATTATATACCCTTTCTATTCGTATAGTAAGTTGAAATCTTATCCAACGTGGCCAGATAGAGCTTTTTAATAGCTACACTAAGTTCTACCATATTTTTATGGGTATATAATAGACAAATACTTGCATATTAATTTGATATTTTTTCTTGTTAGCTCTGAGAATTTTTGCAGATAAATACTTAAATTTCACACTTATTTTGTTAGTATATTAAAGGTATTACAAGATGCAGGAACATTCATAGCTTGGCCAGCCAGGATCATTCCTAAGGAATTCCATTCTGTAGAAAATACAGGCTGGTGCAGTAAGAAAAGGCCACCATGCCTGAGCTATTTAAATCTTCCTTACATTGTCATCAGTAGCTGGTTTATCTATTATCACCTCTGGCAGAAGTTGTCCAACAGGCGACGTAGGAACAGATGGTCCACCAACCAGGGAAACTACTCCATTGCAATCTACAGTGCTATGCATCTTCCCATTCGCTGGAAACACCGCCAGCACCCTGGATGACCTACTGGCCTGACTAATGTTACTGTTGCGCCGTTCACCATGTCTGCGTGGCACAAAAAGAGAATCTCTTCTGCTATCATTATCTTCAAAAGTGCTGTGTTCATCATCAGCAAAGTCATTTTCTGATCCTATATCCCTTGCTCGACCTCTGAAGCTGAAAAGACTCGTTTTGCTGTTGCGCCTTGGGGAAAACAAGGAGCCACGAATGCTCAGCAAAGACTGTAGGAAAATAAAAGAATATAATTATTAGCTAAAACCCTTAAATCCTATATTTTTTTTTATAAAAATGGAGTTAACATGTTGTAGAAGTTGTTTTCATAAATAAAACTAATAATCTTTTCCAGGAACCAAATTTTGCTTTCAGTTTGTCATATGCATTAATTTCACTGAACTCTCTTTGTAAATTTAAAAGCCACTATTCATGAATTAATATAACAAATACTGAACCTGAGCCACCCCAGCTCCTGATGAAGCCAATGAGATTTGTGAGTAAGGATCAATAACAAGATAACTGGATATAAAATAAGAATAGAACAGACATAAACATAGCATCCTCTACATACTTAAGCAAGACCTGGAAACATAAGTAAAATACAAATAAAATCCATGGATATACTTAAGGATGAGTTCTATAAAATTTAATAGGAATGAAACCAATAGGGATCTACAGCAATTATTCTAAAACAATCCTATTATATTGAACAGAGAATATATTTTTATAGAATTTTTAAACCAACTTATGGAATTCTATTACACGGATATAATTCCCTATTACATATTAGAGTCTGATTTACAAATTCTACAGAAAAGCTATCTGCATTAAATTCTATATGGATTTTTTCAAGGAGTTATCTATGTCAGTTAGGTAAAATTCTCTTGAAACACCGGCAACAATATAGTTAGGATTAAATAAAAGTTCGGTGTCTTCCTTCTTCATGTAGTAAAGTCACACTGTTATACCTGTGATACTGCAACAGTTTTTTGAAAGCCCATGATGCTTCCAATACACTTTTCAACTAGCAACACTTTATACAGTACCTGGTGGGGGGACGAATACTTTTTTTCATATGTCAATCTGTTCCCTTCAATGGAAAATCGGAAAGTTTTCTTCCTGATGCTGCCTTCTGATTCAGATTTTTGAAATTCATCTTCATCCTTCTCCTCTCCTCCATATTGTTCTTTCTGCTTTCTCTTCTTCCTTCTGTTCCTCCTCTCTTTAGCACTCTTTGAACTCAACTTTGACGCGTCAGAAGAACTTTCTGAGAGTCCCCCTATTCCGCCTTCTGCACTGGGATCTCTTGACCCAGCAGAGGCTGTTGCTACTGCCTGCCATATCACAATAAATACGTCTATTATTAGATCTACCAATGAAAAGCACTATAAGAGCTACATATCATCATCATTACTAGCCAGCACTCTAAAATATCAAACTTTTAAATTTCACTTCCAGAGAACTTTCCAGTCTAGTCTTTGGCTGGTGCAGCCTTTGCACATTGAGACTTTCAGGTAGCTGTACTCTTCTCAAACATTTTCTCTCACTTCTTTTCTGTATCCTTACTGCTTGCTAAAGTCACAGAGTGTTTCCTATGGCATAGCAGATACCCGTTGCCTAAATATGTGCAGATTCTGACCATATCCATCCCCCCACTCTTCACACATTGCTTCTCTTCTTAAATTATAAGGTTTCCAAGGCATGTACTCTGCTGACTACATTGTATATGCTATGGAATACAAATCCTCAATAACAAACAAACAAATAGTATATACATTCTTTTGAAGTCTCCTCTGGATCACAAGGCTGGGTTGCTCACAGCAAAATGTTTTTATTTCCAGCAATGAAAACCTCGGCGCCGGCTCTGTTCTTGAAGCCAGAGTGGGCCTACCCATTATTATAGGGAATACTTAATAACACAGGGCTCTAAACCCATTCTAAATCTGATGACCAATATCTACAGAAAACTCATTTGGATGCACTAATACAAAATTACAATATGATAAACAATTTAACTGATAAATACATAAAATCACAATTATACCTGAGCTGCTTCTTGTTGCTTTCTCAGCTGTTCAAGCATTTGCTGAAATTCTGCCTCTTTCTGTTCTGCTTCTTCCATGTTTGCTTGATTCTGCTCTTCATAGGCCATGGCAACAACAGCCAGGATCAAGTTAATCAGATAGAAAGAGCCCAAGAAAATCACCAGAACAAAAAATATCATGTATGTTTTGCCAGCAGCACGTAGTGTCTGGAAGTAATAATAAATACAGCTTTATTAACTTTTTAATGTTACTATGTGAATTAATCACCTACTTTTCATTTTGTAGGAATCCATCATCATCAGATTATATGAGAGATGTAATAGAATTGATATTAAGCTCTTTGTATAATTTGATAGTATAAAAATACTTAGTCTTTGTTCTCACCAGCTGATAAAGGTTTTCCCAGTAGTCCTGAGTCATCAGTCGAAACAGTGACAAGAATGCCCAGCTGAATGTGTCAAAACTTGTGTAGCCGTAGTTGGGATTTCTACCAGCTTTCACACATATATATCCTTCTGGACATTGACTACAAAAGGAGAGATATTAGGTGTTATCTTTTACAATTATTCTAATGTCAGTGGATGCTAGGTCCTGATAGAAGTTTGGGATTATGAAGTGCTGTTTTTGGTCAGTTCATCAGACAGGAACTCCTATCAGTTGGACAGAGCTCTACTCTACAAAATTACATTTGAAGATAGCTGAAAAATTGTGTATAACATTACAATTCTGCAGAAGGGTATTTTCTATTTGCATTTTGTTTCTTAGCAACACTTGCATATTGCCTTAATACCAAACTGTCAACTATTTAGTCAAACTCTAAAACACAATGTAAATTCCTTGATTAATAGTATTTTCACCTTCAAATGTCCATCTCCATATTCTTCACTCACCCTTGCAATAGCCTGATATTCTTCAGCAATCAGCACATATGAGCTGGGACCGTTGAGGAGTTTATGCCTTCCTAACTGGTACTTTTGTTACTTCTCAACCAGCCAGAAGCATGTGTTACGATTGGGTGTCTTTGAATTGGCTACCCAGTGAAGAATAAACTGACCTGTCCTGACCAGATCAGCTAGCTATGATTGGGAACTCAAGTCCAGGATCAGACATCTAGAATCAAATCCCAATAACACATCTAATGTGAAATGGCAAATATTTCATTCAGCTGGTCAGTCAAATTATTCCAGGATATATATCTGAATATGCTGCATCCTATTTCTACATAGTACAATAAAATGTCATGAAACATGTCCTTACCCTGCATCTGAGCCATTTCCACAAAGCAGAGCATCATTTTGCCCTTCCAGAACGTAAAAATGACCTGTTTAGAAAATAATTTTGATAAAATTGTAAGAAAATACTACATAAATCTTCCACCGCTACATACTGAACTCATTTAAACAATGTTGAATAAACCCAGTCCTTTACTTTACATGAGTAATTCTACCACAGACAACTTGAAGAGTTTTATGAAACATTTTTATGATGGTGGATAGTTTTTGACTGGTATGATTTTACCTCAGAGGAGTTAAGGGGCTGATTCCCAGAAGTAAGAACTACACATTTACACATTTGAGCTCCAAAATTCCAAAATAATACACTTGACTAAAACAAAGTAAACTGATACATTATTACTACTGCTTTATTCATCAGAATGAAATAAGATTATTTTCACAATTCAATTATAAACCAGCATAAATGATTTCTTCAACATGAACATGAAATCAAAGTGACAATATAAACTGCCAGAAAATTGATATCTTTAATTTATACTGTCAATGTGTCAAATAGCATCAAGAATCCTGATAGATGCTGTTAGAGCTGAATGAATTGTACATTTTTCCTTTCAAATGTGCAATGAAACATGTAACATTTTGTGGAACTTTATTTTGTATTTATTTGTTTTAGTAGATAGAATTTACCCTATTTTAAAAGATTTTGGCAGCCTGATTTAATGAGACATTACTTTTTTGCCTAGCATTACCGAGGCCTCAGCTGTTGCACCTACAAATAACTGTAGCTGTCAGAGGCAGCTAGTCATTAGAGACTAATAAGTTTAAGATCAACCAATAATTCCACAGCTGTCAGCCACTCTAAACAATGTAGGTATGTTTTCATTGCAGAGTTAGCCTAGGTGACCAGCACACAGGTCTGAGCACCAGGGTTAGCCTAGCCCTGGCATGAGCAGCCACAATGCAAAGCCATACTCAAGTTACTGTGTCCTCACAGGTGCTATATTCACCTGTGTGTGTCATATCCCATGGTTCTTTGTGCTACAGAAAGCTGAGCTGCTCTATGCTTCTTACCCAGTGAATTGTGGGAGAACTTGTCTGTCCTTTTGGGCACACAAGGGGATTGTTGGAAGGCACTGAAGGACTATCAGCACTCAGGTGATTTAGCCTGCATCCTCAGTGAAAAGTGGGTGAGTTAACAGCCTGAGTGAACACAGAACCTGAGCTCTAACACATACCCCAGCTGTCTCAGCTAGGCCAGACTGAAAGTACCACTAAAATCAGGTGAGAGATTGGGGTGTGACAAATATTATGGACACCTGGAAGATCCAAAGACTATTGTATCATCTTTATACATGTTATATGTATTTTTATGGGCTAGGGATTGTATTCTTGCTCCATGGGAAGAATGAAGGGATCTAAAGTAGCTGTTACCACTCAAGAAAGAGAGCTTGGAGTCATTACGGATAGTTCTCTGAAAACATCCACTCAATATGTAGCAGCAGTCAAAAAAGCTACCAGAATGTTAGGAACCATTAGGAAAGGGATAATTAATAAGACAGAAAATATCATAATGGCACTATATAAATCTATGGAATGCCCACTTTGAATACTGCATGCAGTTCTGGTTGCCACATCTCAAAAAAGATATATTAGCATTCGAAAAGGTACAGAGAAGGTCAACAAAAATGATTAACAGCTTCCATATGTGGAGAGATTAAAAAGACTGGGACTGTTCAGCTTGGAAAAGAGCTGACTAAGGGGGATATGAGAGAGGTCTATAAAATCAGGAATGGTGTGGAGAAAGTGATTAACAGGCAGCAGGTTTAAAACAACCACAAGGAAGTACTTCTTCACACAATACAGTCAACCTGTGGAACTCCCAGGTGATGATTTGAAGGCCAAAAGTATAACTGGATTCAAAATAGAATTAGATAAGTTCATGAAGTTCTTGGCTATTAGCCAAGATGGTCAGTGATACAGCTCCACGCTCTGGGTGTCACTAGCCTCTGACTGCCAGAAGCTGGGAGTGGACAACAGAGGATGGATCACAAGATGATTGTCCTGTTCTGTTCATTCCCTCTGAAGCACCTGGCACTGGCCACTATCTAAAGACAGGAACCTGGGCTAGATGTACCATTGGTCTGACCCAATATGGCCATTCTCATGGGGCAGCTACAGTTTCTTAGATAAAATTAATGAAAATTACTGGGGTACCATTAATGAAAAATCTCTTTGAAAGTAACAAATCTGGAGAAGCCTCTTCCCAAGGGAAATTGCATATAAGGTTTGACCTTGTTAAAGAGACCTACCAAACAAAGAATTGAAAACTGTATAAAGTGACCATCTTAATGTGGAGAGAGAGGTCACTTTCATCCAATCCAAGAACTGACATGAGACTGTGACCAGAGGGACAGTCTCTGCAAGAGGACCTGAAGTACTTTAAACCTGCTAGGGCCTCCGTGTGGAAGATGCGTGATACTTGGTAAGCTAGGCATGCATAATAGCTGTTTATTGTTTTTAAGTTATGTCTTCTCTGTAATGCTTTTGCTCAGAATAAATAATACTTTGCTTTATGAAGGCTGGCTGGCCACTGGTTAACCCAGTCATTGGCCCTGAAAGAACAGGATGTCAGGTGCTGAACTAAAGTCAGACCTGCTTAAGTGATCACAGTGAATTGCAGGAGGAATTGCAGCCGAAATCACCAGTCAAGGAGAGAGTTGCAGGACTCCACTCCAAGACAGGTGATGTAGGGTGCTTTCAAGGAGGCCATAAAGTGGTCTCAGGTGCAGTCACCTCAGGAATTGTGATGCTGGATAACAGCCTAAACTAAATCTGCAGTGAACACCTACTCTGTGGAGTGTCTCTGATGGACACAAGAGCGCAGTACCACCTGCTGTTGCAAAGTGTTTCCTGATGGGATAGGAACTGCAACAGTACATCTGTTGCTACTGGAAGAATGTTTGCTCTGCAGCACATAGACTGAAGGCAGAAGAAAATGGTAACAGAGAACAGGTTTCTAGCAGGCTAATTCAGAGTACTGGTCACATTGCACATGCTCACTGCAGCTACAGTCCTTCACTGCTACTTTGTTTCTTCTTCTTCTTCAGGCTCAGCAATAAGTAAAAGGTGTATGTTTGTGACTTCTGACCTGATAGTGTGGCTGTCAGTTAGGAAGGGGATAAGTAGGTAGTGAGCCTAGGAAAGGGTTTTCTGAGTCTGGAAGGCTGTACATGTGTATGTGTGTGGAGGACCATCAAGTGTCAGGAACTTGTTTTTATGTCTTATCCAAAAAGTGGCACCTCCAGAAATTCTGAAGATGTTGTCCATCTGGGCTGAAAGGTTAATAATAGTCATACGGGCACTAAGGATTTGGGTATGGCTCATTCAAAGGTGAAAATAAGTACAGAATTAGTTTTTAAAGAAACAAAAAGAGAAGATTAAAAGGAAAAAGAGAAAGGGCAAGAACAAGTTAAAAAAGACAGAAAGAGGAAAATGTCAGTACAGTGAAGTTGGGGTGAGAAAGACAGATGATGCAAAAGTGGGGAGAACATAAATGTAGGTGAGAAGGAAGAGAAGACGAAAATATAAGGGGTAGCCAAAATTAACATAATGCCTTAAAAACTAAAGCAAACTAAGTGTATAGCACAATTCAAAACTTGAAGTCATAATGAAGCCCTATTGCACTCATATACTGAGATTTTGGAGGATTGATCCTAAATGTTTGATTTCCTTCTCCAAAGATTTGAAGGGACACTTGTCAGGGTTGACGCTTGCTGAAAATCACATTTTATAGAATGTTCTCTTGGCACTGAAAAACTACCAACAACTTAGAAATAAAACATGCAGCAGTATTAAATCCGCTGCTCTGAAGCTTGGTGACTCATCCTACTCAAACCCAGGATGCTGGTATTTTTGTGATTTCAGAGATGCATGTGATGTATCTCATTTGTCCCCCATGCCCATACTTTTCTTGCCTGCTCTATTTTAAGAGCTGGGAAGATACTGAAATTGACACACATCCCGTTGTGGTCATGCTGGCAAGCATTCTGCAATAAGAGATTCAAATAGACAGCCCCATAAAAAGCTTGAGTAAATAGGAACTGTGTGTGAATTAAAGGGATGGAACTGGACTGAGACCACATTTCTGTAGGCAAAGTTCGGTAAAGTTTTCTTTTCTAACCAATCTGTATGCTTATCACTTGTATACATTTCTTCAATTTTAAGACAATTTACTGATCTTACAGATACCAAAAAATTTGAAAAACACTAGTTTTTCACATCAGCCTGGGAACGAATTTAGAAACCATGTTTAAAATTTGTTTATAAAAAAGTCTCACAAAAACAGTTACTAGTCTTGTGTGTACACGACCAAATTATGTTGGAACTATGTTTAAATATCATACAGCCAAACTGGTTAGAAATAGGTTTTTGTTGGAATCATACTTATGGAGAGTTTTAACAATCCACATTTGGGTTTTGGTCTACTGTAGATGGGGCTAAACAAACTTACTGAATCAAATGGAACAAAGGGATTGACTGGAATTTGAAGGCTTCCAGCCAGTCAATGCACCAAGCAGGGCCGGCTCCAGGCACCAGCTTGTCAAGCAGGTGCTTGGGGCAGCCGCTCCGGAGAGGGGCGGCACGTCCAGGTATTCGGCGGCAATTCGGCGGACGGTCCCTCACTCCACCTGGGAGCGAAGGACCTCCCGCCGAATTGCCGCCGCAGATCGCGATCGCGGCTTTTTGTTTGTTTGTTTGTTTGTTTTGGCTGCTTGGGGCAGCCAAAACCCTGGAGCCGGCCCTGGCACCAAGGTAATACTACTTTCAAGGAGACTACTTATAAGAGTATAGTTGACAAGATTTAACTCTGTATATCAATCTTCTCTCAAATAAAGTAAATGAGAGTTGCGTGGATAAGTAAGTTTATTAGGTGAACCTTAATTGTTCATTACTTCTGATTGTTTAAAATTGTGACCATAATATATTACATTAACTTACAACTTTGAATATTTGATTCATATGTGAGTATATGTACTACAAACACAGAATAACATTATTATGGTTGCAAAGTTAAGCACTCAAAAAT